GAAGCTCCTGAAAGACGTCATTCTGGGACTGCTGTTCCTCAGCATCTGCCTTCAAGACTCGGGTGCTGCATATGAACAGGATACAGGGGGAATCTGGCATGGCTGTCACTGCCTTATTCCTCCCCCAGGACAGGCGAGCAGCCTGCAAGGCACTGACAGCTGCTGCAGCTTAAGAGGCATACTAGAAAAGGACAAATAAAACCAGAAAAGGATAAATAAACTAACAATAATCCTTTGTGAGTGTTTTATTCCTACTGTATTTTAGTAGCACTTGGGTATGTAGAAATCTGGCTTGTGGTAAACGTCTTTGAAGTTGGGGAGGGATAGTTTTCTGAAAAGAATATGAATTGACTTGTAATTTTTCAGAGGCTTTAGTCATTTGCTTACAGGGACAGTTTCAGTCTATCTCACAATATTTATAAACTAAAAAAATGTGATAAATGGGCAGCCATGTCCAGTGGTGTTCAGCCTTTGGAAAAAAAAAAAACCAAAAAAACCCTCAAAACAAACATTTTTGGGGTGGGGTGGTAAATGTGCTGGGCTGGGGTTCAGGTGTTGTACCATACCATGAGATCCTGCATAATTTTTTCCTGTATTGCGATTTGCAAGATATCCTCACTTTAAAGTAGTCCAGCAAAAGTTAAAGTGAAAATTTTTTACGTCTTTATGGCTGTGACAGGTCTGCAACACTTGAAACATTTTTTTGGTCATTTTTTGAAAGAACGACGTGTGAATTTCTACATAAATACAGACTTCAGTGGTTGTTGACTCATCGTTGCTGAGCTGTTGCTGTTCCTTTGACAACCTGAGGCTGCTGTGACCATTTTGAATAGCACGAACAGCAGCTTGAGTAAGAAAAGATACACGTACCCACAGGTGCGTGTACATGCATGTAGGCAGCAGCGTGAATGCGAAGGTATTCCTGAAGTTGGGAAGGATCCCAGTGCAGCCAGGCCTCACTGTCAATGTTGAGATAAGTTGTTCAGTAGTTTAAGTCAAAATCACCTCTGAAATCTGTTTTCTACAAGTCAGAAACTCTGATATGGGGAATTTTCGGGGCTTCTTAAGTACACAGGTGGCTTTGAAACTACAGTAAAATCTGTTTTAATAGAAACAATACAGGAAAATCTTACGCATATTTTACTAACTGCAGTTATATGTGAGCAGAGCCAGTGCCTGAACCTCTTGTTCTCAAAATCTACCGTCTTAAAAGCTTTCTGTAGCACTTTGAAGAGCTTTGCAGTAAATTCCATACTAGTAAAATATTACTGGAGTTTTGTGGTTTTGGTTTTTTGTTGTGGGTTTGTTTTTTTTTTTAACAATCTTAACTACCTTGCAACACTGCTTTAGCAACAACAAATATTTTAGTTTTTTAACTATTGCTGTGGAGGTACTAATCTTAAAATCATTGAAGAATGCTCTAGTTATATTTCCATGGCCCTGTTGTTCATAAATAATACTGAGAATGTTTTTATGTATTCATAGGAAAGTACTAGTGCTTACCCAGAAGAAGATTAGGAGGTTAACTGTGGTTCTGTAACGGGTTTGTACAGTTACAGGATCTACCTTTTGTGAATTGTGATTTGCAGACTGGATTTAACTCTTTATGTGTATAAAATTCTTAATTATTTAAAAAAAAGCCTTTGTTCAAATGTTGAACCTGGACCATACAGTGTGGGAATTTGTGCTGGGAGGGTGTCATTAGTGCCTGTAAGGTCTATGCTTTTACTCTTTTATTTGCTTATTTGCTTGCCTCTAGGCCCTTGGAACTGTCAAGGGTCATGTTTTAAAGATCAGCCAGGTTTTTCATCGCCTTCAGGAAGGCGAATCCTTTACTTGGATGGGTGCTAGAAGTTTTCCCCAGCCTTTGGCAGGGTGAAACCCAAATACAGTCTTTTTGGGTTTTGCAGTTATATGGCAGATGCATGAAGACAATTAAGATTTCCCCCCGAGTCTAGGGGAAAATCAAAAGGCAAGAGGTGGCTCGTATAGCAGGGACCTCTGTTCATGCTCCTTCTCCTTGCACTTTGGCTCCTCTGATGTTCTCTGGTTCTCCCAAGAAGCAAGGCACGGCTCAGTCTCTCATCTCTGGCAGTCGGCATGTCGTATTCCTCCCCTGTGGCACAGAGTGGTCTGTAAAGGGCCCTCCCAGTGCAGCTGCCGATCGTGTACCTTGGGATCTGCACCAGCCACCGCTGTTGCTTGTTGGGCTCGTCTATGCCGAGGTTTGGCCGTTGGTGCTTAGTACGTTTCTATGATCTTGAAGACAGATGGATGAGGTCATCCTGCTTGTGAATGGGACATAACTGCTAAATGTACTTCTGAGCTTTACCTTGTACATTGAATTATAGCTCTTTTTGTGTAAGATGGGGAACCCTGCGTGCAAAGGTAGGGATTCTGAAACGCAGGTGGTCACCGTCCTTAACGGTGCATTTGTGTTCGCTTTCGTTTGCTGCAATGCGGTCCTCTCGTGTTGGAAATGGCCACAGCGCTGGAGATGACTGGCTTGCTTGTCCTCAGTCACTTTCTCAAACTTCTCTGGGGGGCTGTTTTCAAAGTTTTTCAGTTAAACCATCAACTTTTGGGACTGCCGAGGTGAGAGGGATTACTGAAGAGGAGGCATTTGTGTAAGTTTGTGTCTAGTCTAAGTGAAAATCCGAGTGGTGAGGAACACGTGGATGAAGGAGAAATGTAGTCCAGTGCTTACTGGCTGTGGAAGTACATCACCGAGAGGGCTGCATTCCCTTCCACAGCTGACTTTTTTTTTCTTTTTTTTCCCTAAAGAGAGACAAAATCGGCTGTCTCATCAGTCACACTCAAAAAGTTGTTGAATAATTTTAATCAAAGACTGTTTAATTTGCCCGTGTCAGATGAATGGACTTCCAAGGCCATACATATAGTCCTGCTGCATTCATTGTGTTCTGAAGTTACTTTTCCGATTTTTCTTGAGTTCTGTTAAACATACCTGTGAGGGCAGGGAGTTAATGGGAGAGTGCTGTAGCCTGAGTTTGCAGGGCTCTGTACGATGTGTAACTGAAAAGTAAGGGTGAAGTTTGCATTCACTAGAACTGAAAAACAATTAGCTGTGACTAGGGACAATTTTCAGATGATTAAAAACCAAGCTCATTCATTTTTATGACTATGTAATCTTATAATTTTCAGCTAAATTAAAACTACAGTGAGCAAGTCTAAACTGTACTTCCCTTGTATGCCAATAACAACAAATGAGAGGTGTCTGCAGAGGATGAGTTTGGTTATGTCTCCTTTAGCACTTTTGTACATTTAAAATATGATAGCCTGAATGCCCTGTGCTCTCCTGGGTTTTATTTTTATCTGTCTTACCACTTAATGAGCTATTAGAAATTAAATTCCTGCATAGTCCTGCTGGCTGCGCTCCATTGCAGGCTATTACTGCAATACTGGTTGTTGCAGTAATGGCTAGAACACATATTTTTGTTTTTAAAGGTACCATTAAAAAAATCAGCAACTTAGTTTTTCTTCAAAAATGTATGGTCTTGCATCTCTTCGTTGAATAACATTACTGAATGGCAGTGATACAGCATTGATTCATATGGCAGTGGTTTACTCTGAGGTTATCTTCACTAGTGACATCCTATATAGCTTCCTTTAGGATGAAACTTAGTATAACATGTTACTTTTGTTGAATTGTCAAGTATCCAACTAATCTGATGATACTGACACTCTCTATAAACGAAGTGTAGACAGCAGCTTCAGCTATTACTTGAAATTTACCCCAGTATTTGGTCTGACTCTGCAGTCAAAATCCACTAATGACGGCGATCCCTTAGCTCTAATAGTCCCGTTTTTCCCCACCTTTCCACTCCTGCTGATATGGAGGTACTTTTGACCTCTTAATGACCAAGACAGGCTGCTGCTCCAATGGACTCTGCATAATTTTCCTTCAATCCTCAATGTACTATGAGCTACAGAAATTTTAATTTGAAAACTAAATAAGATGGCTTAAATACAAGTTTCTCTTTTAAAAAGCAAATAGTGTCTGATATTTGGGTCATTGTTTCAGTTCTTAATTGGAATAATAGGAACTTTTTTCCATGCTGGACCTGAATTGTCTTATCAGGAACGTGTTCTTCAGTGTGGGATTGTGCCCTCCTGTAAGAGGCAAGGGCATTGAGGTGGAATTTCTAGAATTATGGGCATGTACAGTATAAAGTAGGTCTTTAAACTGTGGTTTTAAGATGATTAGTTCGTAGCCGTAAGACTTGTAAGTCTTATTTAGGACGATTGATTTTCAGAAGTAATATATTTTGCCTGTAGTGATATTGCCCTCAATGGGTCCTCGTTTTTGGTGGATGTTGCAAGTTGAGGCTTTGAAAGAGAAATTACCTGATTTTCCTGCCAGGCCAGAGGAGGAGGTGTTTCGGCTCCTGTTTTACATTTCAGAATATCTTGATGTGACCTCCACCCACATGTTCTGTAGAACATCTGTTCAAGAGCATGATTGTTCATGTAGTCGGGAAAGGTTCTGGACATTAAAGATAAATAAAACCACATTAAGTGTAGGAGTACCTATAGACTGTTTTTAGTTAGTCGCCATGATCAAGTTTCTGTTGTTAAACTAGTGAAAGTGACTTTTGTTGAGGAGTCCAAAAATACAAAGCTTGCTTAGAAGGGGGAACAGGAAACAGAAGCAGCGTGGATACTAAATCTTTAATTACCTGAAACTGCTACAAATGTGTCCAGAAGTGCCTGCTGAATAAAACTCAAGTATTGGTGAAACTAATTATGCTTTGAAATTATTTGGAGTTCAGTAAGTCTAGTTAAACTGTCTTACAAAATTATTTTAGAAATGAGGATGGAAAATCTGTTAAGTGTTGGTAGTTTTATTAAAATGGTAGTGCCATTCTAAAAATGAAGATAGAAATTCATTTTCGGAGAATAAATAATGATGATCAAAATCTGGGAAGATCTAAAACTTGGTATTTTCTGATTGCTTTTTCTCTTTTTTTCTTTTAATAGTGATCACATGGAAAATATTTATGGCTATTTAATGAAATACACCAATCTTGTCACTGGTTGGCAATATCGGTAAGTCTTTTATGGTGCTTTTTAGTAATGTTGGTCTCTGCAGCATCTAAGTGAACAGGTTTCAGATTTTTTTAATAATACTTGGATTTCCCTTCTGTTAGGCAAACTTTATGGAAGAGTCTTATGCTTTTCTCAGATTAAGCTAACATGTAGATGAGTAATGTTAAGGCATGAATAAGAAAAATGCACAGGAGGTATGAAGCAGTTAACTCATTTGGTGTATGATAACTATGCTTGTATGTGTAAAAAGCATGTACAGCATTATTTTTTTCCTCCTTTTCCATGAAAACTACTGTCTTTTTTCTGATGAGTCTTCAGCTTTATGCCAAATCATGCCATCCATTTTAAAAAAATAATTAAGACTTCTTTACTGAAAATTCAACCTCAAGCAAGTTTTTCCCTTTAGTTCCCCAGGATGTCTGTCTCCCCTGGAATAACTTGCTTTTCTTCGACAGGTGAAACTCTGGTCAGGCTTCCTGCTTCATGCTGTTCCCAGAGCAGCACAATGCAACCAAATTAATATTGGAGAGACAAGTCCTTAGCACACCACACTGCCTAAATTCCTGTACTACCCCTGGCATACAGTGACTTGTGTCAATACACTTATCGTTAAACTCAATTGAATAGTTGAAGCACGATGTCCACTTTGATTTTTTTAAAATCTGGAATTGCTTCAGTTTCTCAGTTTTGTATCTTGACTGTTTTGTATCTGGGGCTGTTTTACCCTTAATTTGTGTAGTCTAAGTATGTATAAAGCCTTAGTGATTCAGGATATTCTTTTAATTCCCAAAATCTTGCAATAGCACCTTTCTGTGGGCACAGCTGTTCTTTTGTGCAATCCCTGGTTGCTGAGGAAAAAGTGATAAATTTTGTGCGGTCTTGTTGGGGACGTAACTTGTGTGTTTGGCATTGTACTGACTCAAGTCTTTAAGTCCCAACCCCATTTGTGCCAACTTGTAATGAAAGCCTTGACTTCTCCCAGTAGAAACCCTGCCCTGTCCCGCATGCCCCACAAAAGAAAGGAAAAGAATGAGCAGATTTTATTTGGTGTATTTGCTTTGTTATCGTTACAGATTTTTTGTTTTAAACAATGATGCTGGCCTGCTGGAGTACTTTGTGAATGAGCAGTCTAGACATCTAAAGCCCAGGGGTACCCTGCAGCTAGCTGGAGCTGTAATTTCACCCAGTGATGAAGACTCTCACACCTTTACCGTCAATGCTGCCAGTGGGGAGCAGTATAAACTAAGAGGTAGGACCTAGATTCTTGGGCAGGGGATTCTTCCACTAGAGGACACTCCTGGCTGTCACCTGTGGCTGCTCTGCTGGGCTTGGCAGCAGGTCCAAAGCAAGAAAACTTGTTTAGGGCAGACTGCTGCAGTGAGAATTATGTGAAACTTTCATCCTGCTCTTCAGGTAGGAACTGTCCTCCTTTATAGATGGTTCCATACTCTTTGGCTTTGATGACTTTCAGAAGACCATGAACTTAAGATGTGTAGAATGGGGGTTTAATCTTCATGTATAGTGTCCTTAAACTGTACTGATTCAGAGTTTTCTAAGTCATTGTAGATAACAGGACTGTGTGGATGTTTGCACAGAACTACATTATTCCTAATGTTCAATATGTTAGCCTTCTTGTGATGGTTATGGAAGCCCATTCTCTGATTTTGCAGGCTGTGGAAATCTGGGCTAATATTCTATTTTTTCCCTTGAAGGCTTGCTGTCAGTATCTAATTCAGGGTACTTTAATTCTAGGAAAATGTTGTTAGAGTAAAATGTGTGTGAGGGGAGTTATTGTTTGTTGAAGTTATTTCTGTGTTACAAAATTTAAAAAAAAGTATATGCCACTTATGTTGAACTTTATTTAATGTTATAGCTAATTACTGGTCAGCTGAGCAACTCTTAGATAAAAAATACTTTATACTGTTGAAGTCTTCTGTCTGTTTTAAAGAAGTAAGCGGCCTTTTGCTGATACTTAAAAAGATCTTCATATACATAATCATTTTGGTTTGCTTTTATTAGCTACTGATGCTAAAGAACGGCAACACTGGGTTAGCAGGCTACAGATATGCACACAGCATCATACGGAAGCTATTGGAAAGGTATTGTATGATACTTCTGTGGGGAAAAATAACTTAGGCTGGTGATAGAAGTAGTTCTAAATACAACTATTCTGTTATTTAAGACAAATACTACAAAAGGACCTGTGGTTGGGCTTGACACTTAAGGTCAAGAAACATTTTTCTGAGAAATAGCTGACTTGTAATAGAAATAGGCTTTAGGAATGACACAAATAGAAGTTACTTTGCCTCTGAAGAGCTGAGTGTTCCAGAGCAGGGGCTGGAGAGCTGGTGTTTGAACAGGAGGCAGAACTGAAAGATCAGAGTATTAGCCCAGTATTTTTTACAGTGGTTTTGCATTTTTTTTTTTAGTGTATAAGGAAACAAGTCTTCAGTGTTATTGAAGCCCTTCCATTTTGGGAGCTTTCCTTTTATTTTAATCTTTTTTTTTTTTTTTTAAACTACTCAACAGCCCACAAATACATTTAGGATTAATTCTTGTGTTTGAGATGCAAGTCCTCAACACTCTATCTGAGGCTTGTTTCTTCCAATTGCGAACCATGTGGTGCTTGCAAATACAGTGTATTTTATAGAACCTCCTGATTGCCATAACACCTATTCCGATACCTGAATAAAACCTTGCTTTTAAGACAAGATCAACATCTTGTAGCTGGCTTTGTTCTAAGAGATAAGTTCAGTGAATAGTTCTAAACAAAATCCCATTCTCTTAAATGTGGGCTCTATCCTTGCAGGATCTGTTAGGAGTCAGTTTCTAGTACTGTTGCAGATTGAGGATTAATTTTCAAGTCAGAGAAGTGATACATATTGATCAATCTCATTTCACAGATTGTTCATAATTAGGCTATAAAACAAGTCAACTGTCAGCAGATAGCGCAAAATATTTATTTAGCAGTTGCTACTAATACATTATTAGGGCTTTGTCATCTGTTCTCGCTCTATAAAAAAAAAAAGCATTAAACTGTTCTGCTGTATCTTTCAAATTAGAATATTTGCTGGGTTTTAGGAATTAATTGTAAATGTTTCTCAATATGCTTATTTATTCCCTAGAACAACCCTCCTCTGAAATCTCGCAGCTTTTCTCTTGCATCCCAAGGAAGTGCCAACTCTCCTGGCGTGCAAAGACGACCCAGTCAAAATGCAGTTTCCTTTTTCAGTGTTGGACATCACAGATTGCCAACTGGAAAAAGAGTTCCTATTATGCAGCCAGATCACCTTGTAGATGTTAGAGAGGTTTGTATGCCTTAAATTATGTTACAATCTTTCGAAAGAGCTGTGCTATTATTTATAGGATTGTGGAAAAACCTCCTATTCTTAGCTTAGGACATGATATTGACAGTATATCCAACTATTATTACATAGCTGTGTGAGGATAAGTAACTTGCCTTGGCTACTAGTGGAAGTATGTGATGTATTTTCTATGATTTTTGTACTCCGCAACAATATTCTGATGCTCAAGGTAGGATTTTGCATGTTCTCATCCTTGCAGGTCCTAGTACTGCAAGTGACAAGGGAATATGCTTAAGAAAGTATAACATACCATACTATGATAGTATAATACCGTATACTGTTTTCTTCGTGTGTCAAGCTATAGAAGAATTGACTAAGCTGTGCTTGTGTCTCGTATGACTAAGGAGAAATTGGTCATGATTGATGTTTAAGAATGCTAATACCACTTTCTGGTATGCTAATTCATGTGGACAAATTGTCTAGGGATGGATGTGATTGAAAAGATAGCAAATTAAAATGAGAAATTCATAAGTATGCTTTTTTCACTGCATGTTCAGGTGTCGTGTGTTTTGGAAAACAACAGAAATAATTACCTTTCCATCTTGAATGTCAGAATGGACTGACTACTAGTTGATTTAACTTGTGAATATTTACAGGGTAGACCATGCAAATCTAAAGCTAATAGTAAAACAAAATTTATTGCTGAATTATGAACCTGTGTTACTTAGTAGCAGTATTGATATTAATATTTTAATGTTAGCAGTGTAGTGTGATACATTTCTTGGCAAAAATAAGTTTCTAATGGAGGGCTTTTTAATTTGGCAAATAAGAATCTAGTAAGCGTGAATAGTTAGAAATTGAGCTTAGACAAACTGGGACAGAAAAATGCTCTTTATTCTGAGTGTCATTAACCTTAAAATATGCGGCTGAGCATTGTGGTTGAGTTCATGGGTGGGAAGATGTAAATAGGTATTGAAAATACTTTTCCTGGTATGGTATGCTGCCATCATCATTGTTCCTTGCATTAAACCAAGTGCTGTGGCATAATTATTCAGTAAGCTAGACGAGGCGACTGCCTCTTTAGACCTTAGAAGCTGTGAACCTCTCTGTCTGCAGCAGGCTGTTCTTGCAGATATCTTGCAAAAGGGGAGCTGCCGCCATCCTGTTTATATCCTCCAATAACACTAAAGTCTGCTACAGTGCTAATCCAAAGACATGTGAAGTTCTGGCATCCTGTTTTTTATGAGCTGGTTCATCTGCTTTTTCTTCTGAAAGAGAAGTTTTTCTTCCAAATTCATTTTAAAACTGAAGCTATACACATAGTTGCTTTTCAGTTTGATTCATCAAGTTACCTTTTGTGAGGTACTTCTTACTAGTGTGGTACAACAAGGTATGGCAAACTTAAATAGTATTTGCACTTTCCAACCTATTGCATGAAAAGAGCAACAGTATAGAACATGGCATTAATATTTACAGAATTCATGCTAATAGCTCTCAGCAGTTTTTCTTTCTTTTATCTGTTATATTTTGGTGTTTGAGAAGCTACTTTTAAGTGAGGTAATGTTTCAGAAATGGCTTTTTAACTTTTCAAATGGTAATAGGTCATTCAAAATTTGAGGGAGAAAAGAGGAGAGAGTGTGAGCTGGAGGACTGAAGCAGTGGCTTGCATCCTCTAATTGGGATTCTCGGTGGAAAGTAAAGTGGAATGGTTTTTCTTAGCATTGCAAAGAGCACAGAAAACTGTTCATGTTCTTTTGTGATTGTTACTTAGTTTGGTGACACAGCATGATTATTTATCAACTTTATTTTTTATCAAAATTTTTGACCTGTACAGATGAAGAATCCTCAGTAATGGTTGCTTTTCTGAATGTCCAAGTTAGTTTGCTTACCTTTTTGAAGCTAAAATGCTTGTTTGATACAATGCCTGTCTCTTTTTTTAAAATTTTATTTTAGATACAGATAAATGACTTAAAATAACAAAGGACAGGTGCATGTCTGTTAACACTTGAGCATAATACAGCTTGAATACTTGGAAATTAATTTTGAGAAGCTGTGGGAAGAACAGTTTCCCTTCCAAAGGATCTGCTGCGTAGTGACTCTTTGGATTTTTCCTGTGAACTGCACTGTAGCTGGTTCTTCTGTCAGTCCTGTTCCCTTGTACTTTCCCTTGTTCTTATCTGAATACATGTCACGCTGCTGACTTGGATACCTTGCAAAATAGAGGATCTAGGAGGATCTTTATGCAGGCTCATACTAAATGCAGGTGTGTGTATTTGCAAAGTGAGAACTATAGCCTATGTAATTCTGATAGATTTTAAATTTTTAATTGCACTGCTTTTTCTTTCCTGGCGCTATTATTTATTTATTTATTTAAAAATCGGAGTGTATAAGTAGGAAAAACTTAAGACTGTTCAAAGTGTGTTCTTTCGAAAGGGGAGGTGAGCCTATTTGGACTTCAATGCTCAGTGTAACATGGCTTGTCCTGTTGCCTGGCTTGATCCTGAAATAAGGTGCTTGGGTGCTACCACGTAGTAAATTACTAAGAGTGAAGATCACAAGAAGGGTTGTGGTGATTTGTCAGGTAATTATCTGTGTCTTTTTTTTTTTTTTTAATCTAGCAGAGTTTTTCAAAATATTGGAGAAAAAACTTGCACACAGACTTATATCACATTCATGACTGAAAGAAAGATGCATATTCTGATAGCAATTGATGTGCTTGCACAGGCAAGGCTAAATAGCTAAGTGTTTTACTAGCTTTCAGCTCTGTCACTCTTGGGACGTGCTAAGGCTGACAGTGCACAGTTAACTCCACTTCCAAAGAGCCAATGCTCTGTAAATTCACACCATGGCATGCTATGTAGTCAAGCCCTAAAACGTTCCAAATACCACATATTGTGAACTTGGGTGAATACGTATTGCCAAAGTATTTATTGTGTAAAGCTATTAAAAGAGCTCCTGGAAGGGATTGCAGGCAAAGGTACTTGGGGAAAAAAAATAAAATAAAAAAAAAAATCCATAAGATACTGCTAGGATTGGTGAATTAAAAAACTAAGCAGTGCCATAGCAGTTAAATGCATGAATGCATCTCAGATTTTTTTTAGAGAAATTCTTCTTCTGCTCTGTTAAATCAATCTGTTGTTACATTTAACTGAACTGCCAGAAGAAGCAATGATCAGAGAGTAGTGCTATCCAGTTACCTTAACACTGTTTATTGTACCTCCCCAGAAGAGGGACTGGCATGTATACAAGTTTGCTTTCATCCCTGTGATTCAAAATTGGGCAATATTTTGCTTCTGTGAGTACAAAGAGAAAAGTATGTAGGTTTTTTGGAAGACCACAGGGTGCTGCTTGATGGCTGGTGTGCTTTGCCACTGTATCTCTTGCAGGCAAATGTGCTGTTGCAGGTTCTGTGATGTAGGGATGCATAGCTCTGTGTGAAGGAAGAAGGGAGCTTGGGGCAGAGCAGGAGGGACAATGACACCAGGAAAGCTGTCGTTTGAACACACAATGAAGGTGAAAATTATGCTGATTTTTCTTCCTCCTCTGCAAAGTAAACAGTGAGGTAGTGAGCCTAAGTGTGGTGGTGCAGACAGTCAATGACACTCCTGTGTGGTTTGAGTCAAACTGAGTGATACAGGTCTTTTCCTTTAAAGTGCTGGATCTCTTCTTGTAGGGAGTGAAAAGATCTTGATACCCAACAGACAGTGCTTCATAGATCCTCTTCCAGGCTGTGCAGAGCACAGAGCTTAATTACTCCTCACACAGAGTATGTGTGGGTTCCCCCCCTACCCTGTCCCCATCAACCAAGCATGAAAGTGTTTGATTTACTGCAGCAAGTATCATGTTCAAATTCCTTCTTGCTTTTTTTTTGAAGTCACTTTGATATTCTTTTGCTTGTTAATACGGTGCCATGTATTGCTGTGGGAATTTCATCATGCATTTAATGACTCTTTAGTAGCTGCATCAAGAAAAAAAAAGTATAGTTAACTTTACATACATCTCTTACCTTGTAGCTTTATTAGTGTCATAAAATCATTTGGGATCCTCTGTGTGCACAGCTAAACACGTATCGCACAACACACTTCCGTCACCTGATAAATGACTGTTTTGTTTGACAGATGATGTCTCAGGCTGAGGGCCAGCAGAGAGACTTGATCAGGAGCATAGAATGCCTTCCTGTCTCTGGTCACCTTACATCCTTGGATCAAGACCTGTTAATGCTGAAAGCAACTTCCATGGCAACCATGAACTGCTTAAATGACTGTTTCCATATTCTCCAGTTACAACATGCTTCTCAACAAAAGGGATCCTTACCAGCAGGTGGGTATAGATGCTCACAAAGAGCAGAACTCTATAACAAACACACATCCTTTCCTTTGTGCAAAAATACTTGTTGCAATAAATCCAGTTTCACACAGGTAGAGAGAACTGCTGGCTGCCTGGTTTCTTGTGAGTTTCTCTAGAGTCTGACTTCTGGTGTTGGGTAGAACTCCCATGCATATTGTTTGTTTTGTTTTTTAAAATTGTTTTCTCTATTCTATCAAGAAGTCTCTGGCAGCAGCTGTATAAATAATGTGTAATTGTTGGGAGCATCTCAGAACAGAATAAAGTACATAAGATACCACAACAAGAAGGCTGCCTTCAGGATGTAACTGGCTGCTCAGGAGCAGTAATAGTGGACGGGGACTTCTATGGGATTGCATATTCCAGGATATGTGGTGTCCAGTACAGCTCTGTCAAATGTCATGCTTTTTTTATGCACTAAGTACCTATTACAAGCATTTACATGTGTGTAGCTTTCACCTCTAGTTAGGCATTTAAATACAAAGCTTTACATTTGCACAGGTTATTAATACTGTTTATATTATTAATACTGTTTGTATATCAGTATTCCTATTCTGAGTTAACATCCTAGTCTAAAACATGGGCTAAGCGTCATGTTCCATTCTGAGGCCAAAACAGACTTGTAAGCAAATGCAAATTGGTTAAAGGTGTTACCCACCCCCCCCCTCTTTTCAACCCACCAAACTGCGAACAAACAAAAAGCCCCCACAAACCCCGCTGCTAATGGGCGTGGAATAACATGCTTTCACATACACCAGACAAATACATTGCTATGTCTGCACGATTGATTGCTTCCACGCAAATAGGTACTTACCAGAAGCGTTCCACCTAATTTGTGTGCAGCGTATGGAACTGAATTTGTGCTTTCCTGTTTGTGAATTCTTTTGCATCTTACTCTGATTTTTTTTTCCCCTATGTATTTACTTTGTGGCTTTTTGTGAGCAAAAAGCTTTTGAGGATTTTCAAATGCTTCTCTTATACAACAGATATAGTAGATATGGTAAGTATGTAACAAAGTACACTCATAAATTGTCTCCTACCTTATCTTTCCCATATTCCTATCATATTTGTGGTACTTGCTTTGCCAGTGCATATTATTTCGGAGCTGTAATTAGTTTAGCTGCTAAGATGAAAACAGATGTTGTATAAAAATTTTAAAATGATATAAAAAATTTGTGATTTTTAAATCACCACAGGCGTTAAAAGAATATGTGAACAGGATGAATTAACTTTTTTTGCTACATTTAAGTTCAAAATTTAATTTTAAAAATGAAAAACTGGATTGCACCTCTGCAAATCTTTGTCTGAACTCCAAAGTTACTCACACTGAAAGAACTTCCTATTCCCTGTGAATTTTTTTAACTATTGATGCGTAACTGTGGGAGGTGCACATAAGTCTTTTTCTTTTGGCATTTTTGTGCGTGTGCTACTAAGGTGGGGTTTTTTTTGACCTGTTACTATATCTGGGGAAATAAGTAGGATCCAGTGAGCACCACTGGAATAACTTATGAAGAAGATAAGGGGGTTTTTTTGATAAGTGTTTTTGTTGTTGTTTAAATTTTTAGACTATGCAGGGAAAAGCTCAAGTCATCTGACTGCTATTCAGTTAGTATCTTATTTTAAGTTAAAATCTTAATTAATGGCAAAATCTGAAAATACTGTTTGAAGATGTCCAAATCTTGAAGATTTCTGGTGATATTGTAGAGAGAATGATGGAGAGGGGAGTAGCAGCAGGTTGGATGGTGCATTCCTGGGGCCAGAGTTACAAACAGACCATTTAAAAGAATGTGCGTGCCTTTCTGCAGCCTTCCACTCTCCCACTAGTGTGACCTTTCTAGAGACACTGTAATACAGCTGTTCCTTTCAAGGATCGTGAAGAATTTTTTTCTAAAGTCTATTTAACTTAGATTTTCCCCCCACACTCAGGAGGGATACTTATCCTTCTTGTTCAACTGGTGGAGTATTTTTGGTAGGCTTCAGAAGTTGATATGGAAAGGAAAAAGGTTGTTCTTAATTCAAATGCTGCAGGAGACACTTCTATATTTATCTGTAGGAAAATATAAAATGATTCTTGGAAAAAAATCTTGAATGCAGACTGGTCTATCTAATAAAATATAAATAAAAAAATATATGCAGGTACTGTTTGATCTTCCTAGGATTATAAAGGCAGGTCAGCATACTTCAGCTAGATATGAGTGAGAGGCAGCAAGAAATGATGATGAAGAGGAGACTTGTCTAACAGAACATAAATTGAAACAAGAAGTGGAAAAAAGTATTTTTAGGTCTGGTAAAGTGGTACTTGACTGCTAAGAATGTTTTGGGCAAGTGCTTGCCCAGCTTAAAAAAACAAGGATTAGAAATTAGATAAGAGTGCCAGTTTGCCATAAATTGTTCAAAGAAAAAAATCAACAGAAGAGTGAAAATATTGTCCCAACTGCATCAAGGTATACTATAAATCACAGGCTTAAAGTGAACAAGAGAGTTGCAGCTATTGACTTGAATTTAGGAAATGTTAACAGTGGTGAAATGATGTACTGAATTAAAAAAAAACCACAACCCACTTCGTTATCATAAAGGCGAATTGCAACAACATTCTGCAACTCTTGAAGAAAAATGTTGAGTGTGAAGACTATAGACTCTGAGAGGTCTGTGTTGTAGCAGAGGGGAAGTGCTGACAGCTGTTTAAAAAAAAAAAAAAGATGAAGACTTTTTGGGGAGGAGGAGATCACAAGTAAAGAGAATAGCTTGTGCTACCTGAAATAGTCAAGAGCAGATTTGAATATGCTCTTCCAGTTGAAGAGAAGCACTAGTGTGATATCCTGTCCATTCACAAAGATTAAAATGCAACTGGTAGCTCAAATCAGTTTAAAAAAACCTCCTAGAATTGAACAGTGAAAATTAAACAGAACTTAATAATAAATAAGGTTATTTTAGAAGTAACTGATAGGGAGTGTAAAAGGGAGGCTACTTGTTAAATTCAAGCTAATATGAGCATGGATTAAATGCATCCTTGAACATGCAATTAGAGATTATTGTGTTGAAAGTTACAGCTCAGAAAGCAGTTACTGTTCATGAAGAGGTTTCAAAGACGAGTAAAACCTTTTCAAAAAGGTAAGCGTGACAGTGACATTCTGAGCATCTTATTTTTTTACCTCTCTGAAACTTCTATTTAAATAGCTTAAACTGCTGAGGGATTCTTGTTTCTTACTGTGCAATGGAATAATGAATAATAGATTTGATGAAAATAAACTGTCTTGCTGTGGAAAAAGTTGTCTTGTCCCATTAGTAAAGCTGGATTTTTTTTCCTGCCCCAGTATTTTCCTGGTGGAAATGCTGCTGTTTATCTGAATTAAGCTTACTCTGCTTGTTGTGGTTGAGGATGTGACCAGGTAAGAGAGGTCTGGAAAAAGAATTGTGTATCATATAGGAAGAGACAACAGACACGTCGGTGTAGTTTCCTAAGCATGGGAAACTGCTGGGGGGTGGTAGAAATCCAAGTTTCCTAATTTCTGTATTTGCAACTCAATCAAGATTGTTTGTCAGTTTGTGTATTCTTCAGTAAAAACTGATTGGAGTCACTTGCACATTTATTAGCCTTTGAAAAAGAATGGAACATTTGTATTTTTAATGAGGAACCTGATCCGTTCTGATAAATTAGCTGGGAGTAACTAGAGATGCTGGAATCATCAAGTGGGTAATAGTTTTCCAAGCCCTGCAGCATTTTTTTTTTTTAAGCAACTATTATTTATTCAACAGCCTGTGCTTGCCGCCTTTGCTGCTGAGAAAAGACAAGTACCCTCTCCAGAGAAAACACTGGCAACAAAACTTTTTCTGCTTTAGCTCTTTTTAGTCTAGAATGGAGCGGAGGGGTTTGGGTTGGTTTTTTTTGGTACCAGTTAAAGAAAATTGTGTTACTTAACATTCCTGTGATACTGGGATCTTCCCGCAGTATCTGATTACACCTTTCATGACACCAACTACTTTCTGCAGTCCAAGTTGCATGTATTACCGCTCGCCAATCGCCGTGTTTGTGCTAATGATCACTGAAGGTGGTGTCTCATTGCACCACCTTTGTTTAGTGGCTGCTGAAGGGATTGGCTGCAGGAGGAATTGGCTGCTTTCAGTTTATTCCTTAAAAAAAAGCTCTTTTGTGAAAACTGCTATTTACTGATCTTCCAGAGGATGAGCAAGTTTCAGCGCAAACTTTCTTTTGCTTCAGGAACGACGATCAGTTGGTTGGAACCGAAGATATCTCTGGCAAACCACTTCAAAAATGGAGCGGCTCAGAATTTCCCAGCAGAGATAAACAAGCCGGCATCTGTCAGAGAAGAGCAGTCCATTGCAGAGGCCTGCCAGCTAACAAGGGTAAGGTAATGTGAACATCCCATTTCTGTGGGGAATTTTGAAGAATATCTGAAAATGTGTCTCTCATATTATGTAAAAATGATTTAATGTCATGTCAGTTCTTCTCACACTTTCTGATTAGCTGTGTTGCAGGAGGAATGAGTACAGTTGCAGCAAATGAAACTTTCTACCTTGCTTTTTCAATACATTTTTGCTGCTTTCTGTAACTAGCTGTCAAGTGGAGAGAGCCAGTTGGGATGGTAATGCAAGGTGTTGAAATAGGCAGTATTCCCTTGCATTTTGATCTAAAACAAGTGGATACTGAAGTGCATAAAACTTAACTGGAATTCCTGATACTCTCAAAATAGGCCCAAGAGGAACTGCCTGAGTGGACAAAACCAAAATTGCCAGTTTCCAGCTATTAAATCTCCCTGTCTTTCTTTTCTAGCTCTTGCTGGATCTGTTTTTCTTAATCTGAGCAACTCTTATCACTTGACTTCAGGATGGCTTAATGTATTTGAAATACATCCACAGTCTGTGTCATTATAACTGTCAAAATTGATTTGAAGTGCAAAATACTGAAGTAAAAAGCCAGCAGGGATTATGATGTAGAACATGTTTTCCTCACTAAGCTAGAAAATCGTAATTGCATTCTTTTTATACTAGTTGGTTTCACACAGTTGTTCGGATGAGACTGTATCGCTGTGAAAAAATAACGTGCTGTTGTATGCCTCTGCAACAGCACTGTGCAATCTCATAGCAAAATCAAAATGGAAAAGATTTTTTTCAGTTGCTATAGTTTACAGATTTTTAAATGGATCAGAGTAGGGCAGCTGCTCCAGGACAAAGGGCTGTGCTTAGGCAGACACGTATTCCTGCCTTCCTGTAGCATTCAGTGCCTCTCCCCTCTGCATCTGCCTCCCTCCAGCTGTTTGCCCCTGGAGGATGCTGCTCAGAGCCCAAGGAATACTACCGTCCTTTCCACCTGAAGCACCTGACTTTCTTCTTGTGGGGTGATGGTTCTCAAAACGGTGCTTGCAGGGAGGCAATTGTTAAAATGGGGCTCGTGTAATTTCTGCTAGTCTGTCTGGGTGTTTTAGTTATATTCGTGTGTGGTGTGTGTATGTGTGTGTTTTTTGTTCTTTATAAAACTACTTCAAGTTACTTTTCCTTTTTCCTTTGCTGTTACGAATTGGCACTAGCAGCAACAATGATACTGCTTGTGAAGACTAGCCTGAGGATATGTTAATAGCTTGTCATTGGGAATAACAGTAAGCAAATAACTAGGAACTACCACTTGCTACAGCCTTTGGAGTAATGGTGGCAACACTGGAAAGCCTGAAGTAGTGTGGAGGTGGAGGGGTGTGGTTGGAATTTCTGCTAGCTTTTGCTTCACTATTTTGGTGTATGTGTTAGATGCTTGACATTCTGCTAGCTCACAAAACTTAGAGGAAAACGGATCATATTTGCTTTTAAGTTTCCCTGCCCCGACCCATGTGAGAGATTGTAAAAGTCTTAGCCTGAATCCTCTGGATGAAATCTGCACCGAGTTATCTTAGTGTCCCTTTAAATTCTTCAGCTGTTGTTTATCTTGGGGGTAGATTCCATTGTGTAGTTCTCTGCAGGGGTTTGTTTAGTCTTTTTTTCGTATGTGGATAGTTAAATACCAATATGAAGTCCTTTTTGGATATTGTCTGGCCAGTCACAACTTTGAGCTGATGATTATGGCTCTTCTCCCAGGAACCTGAAGAAATAAATCCAGATGAGGAGCTGGAGGATATCTGTGATGATAAAGAAGATGATCTAGGAGCAGTAGAAGAACAGCGCAGCGTTATCTTGCATCTCTTGTCTCAGCTGAAACTGGGCATGGACTTAACAAGAGTAAGTAACTGAAGCGTGAAGTCTGGCTACAGTAGAAGTGCCATTTTAAACTCAACTCCTGTATTGAACAGTATAGAGTTTAATATGAAATTGTGGCCTGTAACAACTTCAGGTCCCAAGATCCGATGTCACAGTTTGAGGCAGGTTTTAAGTGAAACGTGCTGAGGGAGTGGGTTTTCTTTAATGCAACTGGCCATATCTGTTCTATTACATTTTCTTTGTGTTTTCTACTATGTTTTTGTTTGCTTTCCTGTAATGGCCTGTTTTCTTTCCTGTGTTTGCACCTTACTCTTTCCATGCTGTTTTCTTCAACTTCCTCATATTTTTGTCTTTCTGCTTTCCTTCCATAACACTTTTTCTCACTTGATAATGCCTTTACACGCAACTTGCATAACCTTACACCTATGTTTATGCTGCTTCTGAAAAGAAGTTTTCTTTTGGTTCCCCATTATCTATCTGATATCTGTCTATCAGATATCTGTTCACACCTCTCTGTCCTATTCTCGTTTCTGTGTTTGCTCACAGCTATAGCAAGCAGGAACAAAGTTATACTGGAGAGAATTGGGTTTGACACTTCAGTGCAGATCTCGAAAGCAAGCAGCTTTGAAAAATTAACACTCAGTTGCTACTAGACAACTTGGGCAGCAAATCTGGGAGAATCAGGCTGCAACCAGTTTATGTTCAATTCACTCCTGTAAACACATCTTACCATAAGCACTAGACACTTTTAAAGAAAAAATGGATTTTACAGTGGCATGGAATGAAGAAAACACTCTTTTTGGAATTATGGATTATAATTTGTTTTTCAAGCTATGTTTTTTGAGCACTAGCTACTTGGCTACTAGAAACACTTGTATTGTTGAGCTTATATTTCACAATTAGAGAAAAAAAAAAAAGATGGTATGCACAGGCCCTGCTGCCTGTGGGCCAAACTTAAACCCCTGCTGCTTAATCAGGAATTCATTAAGTCAGTATTTCACTTATATTGAAGATTGGATTTGGTCTGTCTTTTTCTCTTAGTTGGAACTAATTGTCAAGTCTGTCTACCAGTTGTGACTTCTGGCTGCATGTGTAGAATTGTCTTTAGTTCAGAGCAGGCAAAGCATTGAAATGCAACAAGCCTGACTTCAAAACAGGTAATGAAGTTCTTAGAATCTCCCTTAACTTAAATGTCAGGGCACTGAAGTGAAGAGCAACTTTAATATTCCATGTTGGTGTTGCAACAACATGGCAAGTGTATTCAGCTTAACTTGTATATCTATTAAGAGTCCTGTATCTGTGCTCTACCTCTTTGAATGCAGCAGATTTAAATGGACTTGATCTGATGGTTGAGACACCCTGTTGCCCTTTACAACAATTGTTTACATGAGGTTAGTTGCCACTACAGGGAAGGAAAAGACTGATGATACCCACAGTCTCTTACTCTACAGTATTGCTCTTGGCCCAGCAAAGGACAGGACTGCTGTTTTTTACAGTGGTAAATATAGCTGGGAAAGTGTAAGGTACTCTGCTCAGAGGAGAGTATCAACCTGTACTATGTTATTTCTCATAGATGCTTCTCCTAGTTGCTGTGGTGAGAGACTCTGCAGGCTCTCAAGAGCACTGGCATAGCTTGCCTGCTTTTCTCTCCATTAGACAAAACTTTTTCTAATTTCTGCTCTGAACCTTCCTTGCTATAGTTTGAGCTCGTTCTAGCTTGTTTTCTCCTCCACAAGGAACACATTATCTCTTTCCATCTCTCTTCTGTTTTTTGAGGGATGCTTAATCCCTTTCAACCTCTTTAGTCCTAATATAATCATAGAAAAGTTTGGGTTGGAAGGGACCTTTAAAGGTCATCTAGTCCAACCCCTCTGCAATAAGCAGGGACATCTGCAACTAGAGCAGGTTGCTCAGAGCCCTCTCCAACCTGACCTGGAATGTTTCCAGGGATGGGGCATCTACTACCTCTCTGGGCAAGCTCGTTCCAGCTTGTTTTCTCCTCCACAGACGTGTGGAACACATTATCTCTTTCCATCTCTCTTCTGTTTTTTGAGGAATGCTTAATCCCTTTCAACCTCTTTAGTCGTAATATAATCATAGAAAAGTTTGGGTTGGAAGGGACCTTTAAAGGTCATCTAGTCCAACCCCCCTGCAATAAGCAGGGACATCTGCAACTAGAGCAGGTTGCTCAGAGCCCTCTCCAACCTGACCTGGAATGTTTCCAGGGATGGGGCATCTACTACCTCTCTGGGCAACCTGTCACTTCATTTAATTTTATTTTGTCTCTGGACAGTTTCATTCCTACTGGGGAATAAAACAACATACTGTAGTGCTATGTAGTGTATATATATGTATATAGTGCTATGTAAATATAGATTAACTGACAATAGTTGGGCTTTTTTCTCCTTGTAAATTACTTTTCTGGGACCTCTTATCGCTGTATTTTGCTCACATCTTAGAAGAAGGACAAGAAAGTTCAGTCTGAAAGTGTGGTGTCCAAAACGGGACAGAATCCTCCACATGAGAACTACCCTTTATAAAAATGCCTTTCTCCTTTTTTTACTTACTAGAGCTTTCTGGGTTTTCTTTTATTTCAGGTGGTTCTTCCCACTTTTATTTTAGAGAAGCGGTCGTTGTTGGAGATGTATGCGGACTTCATGTCCCATCCTGATCTCTTCATTGCAATCACAAATGGCACTTCCCCTGAGGAGAGGATGATCCGCTTTGTTGAGTATTATCTCACTTCATTTCATGAAGGTCGCAAAGGAGCTATTGCAAAGAAACCATACAATCCAATCATTGGGGAAACGTTCCATTGCTCCTGGAGGATGCCGAAGAGCGACGTAGCCACTGATGCTGGCAGTAACTTCTCTGCTCACTCCCCTTCAGAGCAAGTAACTCTGTCCAAAGATCTGGAAAGCCAAACAGATCTGGACTACTATACAGTAAAATTTGTAGCTGAGCAAGTGTCCCACCATCCTCCTGTCTCAGGGTTTTATGCTGAATGTGTAGAGAGAAAGATGTGTGTCAATGCCCATGTCTGGACAAAAAGTAAATTCTTAGGAATGTCAATAGGAGTGACGATGGTTGGTGAGGGTAAGTGTAACTTCTGTCCTTTATTCGTTTTAGAAAGTTCTTAAAATATTAGTTTGAGAGGAAATTTGATGTTGTATGCCTCTGGCAGAAATGCAGATGAGTACTGCTCAGTAGTTTTCTTTCAAAGACTTTTCAAAAAAATTTGCTTGCAGACATGTCAGCTGCTATTGTGGGTTTTCAGATTTATTTTTTTAATGTACTTTTGTTTTTCTTCTAATATCTGTGATCTGTAAACCTGAGTGTATAGTCATTCAGTGATTTCTTTCTTTACTGTTTACAAAGTACAGAAGATACAAGTTCTCATTATAGACATCAAGAAGAAAAAAACTCAATAGGCTTATGCTTTGCCAAAAATGAGGATTATATTTGGAAATAAAATTTTGACTTTTAAACCAAAGGGCAGTTACTGTAATTGGAAACATTCATAAATACCAGTTTGCAAGCATCGAACAAACCAATTTGCATCAGGCATTTATTAAATCGGAGTGGTGGTGTTCAATTTGGTTCTGTTACTTACTAAAACCTGCACAGTAAGATACATTTTAGCTACAGAAATTGGATCCTTTAGGGACAGAGAAGGGTAACTGCCCTTAAACTGTAATTCCCCTTTAACACTAGTCTTTACAGCAAGATATGAGACAGCATCTCCTATTCTGTGTCCCCTGTGTGTATTGCCCAGCAACAGGGGATTCCAGGTATTTGCATGTAAACTACATACTGGACAAGGGAATGATCATGGCAGGGGATGTGGAAGGCACGTCTTGATGCTTTGGCTGTACTAGGTAATTTCTGAAGTTAATAACTCCTCTAAGGGCATTTCTGAAATCATGTCACATCTTTCCAGAATTTCTCCTGTTTGTCAAACTTATGTCAGATGCACAGCGATATGTGCTACAGAGGCATGGGTTGATGCAGACAGCAGTCAGTTGTCATACTATGTTCTTGTAACAGCAAGAGGTAGACCTTGTGGGGTGTTTTTTTTATAGGAATCAAACGCACACATCTTAAAACTCAAAGAAAAATTCTATTTTTTCATGAGATTCTGGACATGTATTGCAAAAGCTGCTGTCAGGGAACAGTTGGGTTTATCGTTGCAGAGAGGTGCGGCAAAGAGGTTTGAGGCTGCTACCTGCCTTCAGATAGGGTAGGATGTGTTACAGGGAGGCAAAACAGAACAAGAGTATTTATGAGCCCTCCTCAGGATCTGTAGTTCAGGGCGTTCATTTGTTATTACATTTGGCAGCATAAGTCTTGTGTTGTCATGCTCCAGAAGCATCAGAAAGAGAGTGACCAGCCCTTTTACATACTACTGCAAAGTATATTGCACAGTATTGTACCTTATGGAGCAATATTATTAGGATAAATGTTTTTTCCCAAAAGAAACATAAATGCATGTTAGTCAGGTTAGTAATTTCAGGAAAATGTTTCTATCTAAAATCTGTAATAAATGTTACTTTCATGGATTTGTAGTGGGGTTTTTTGTGTGTGTGAGGGACTGTGAGGAAAAGTAGTCAGGTATAGTAGTGGATATCTGTTTCAAGAACTCATTTTGTCTTTTCTAAAAAGGTTCTGATTTAGGGATTCTTTTTTTGCTTCACACAGGTCTCTTAAGTCTTTTGGAACATGGGGAAGAATACACGTTCTCTCTGCCCTGTGCGTATGCTCGGTCAATTTTAACTGTTCCCTGGGTAGAACTGGGAGGAAAAGTCAACATTAACTGTGTGAAGACTGGGTATTCTGCAAGTATTAACTTTCACACCAAGCCCTTCTACGGTGGCAAATTGCATCGGTGAGAACACTTTTTTTTTCCCCTATTTTTCCCACATAGTCTGTACTCTAGAACTGTAGTAGCTGTGTAACTCCCCTGTTCTGTGTGCAGAATAATGCTTATTTGATAGTCTTGAGAAAACATAGTTTTTCCTGCTCATATAAACCTGAAGTATTATGAGCTCTTAAACAATATCATAGCTAGACAACTGCAGCTCATGTGATCATCAAGGAAGAATGAGGTTGCGTTTTAAAGACAGTAAGGAAATTCCATGTTTGTCTGACTCTGTTCAAACCACTGGGAAAACAGAGCTCCTGGCTTTTATTCCTGGCTGCCAGAGGTTCTCCTATTTCTGCTAGAAGTTATTTTGCTCTTTGAAATGAGGTTGACCTTGCTATCTTAAAGGGTTGCATGTTGTTTGCAACACGCATTGTAGTTGCACTGCAGGGAACATCAATAAATAACAGAAGACTATTAGTCTTAGGATTTCTGTATAAGAAATAGAGGACTATCAAAGTTTCAGCAACCTATTTACTCTAGGTAAAAATCCCTGTTTTAAAGACGGTAATACCGGTAGTGGCAATTCTTCATGCGCATGCATGTTTAAAAACTAAGAGGTAAAAGAAAGAAGATCCAGGGGAAGTTTGCTTGGGGTTACTTCTAGCAGATACTAGGAAGTGTCTGCACACTTGGTGCAAAAGCTCTTGAAACTCATTAACACTGATGGTTTTAGACATGTTGTAGTAAGACTGCTGCAGATCAGCCTTTTGCTAATACAGAGACAGTGAATTGAGGAAGGAGAAAATTCAGTAGTAAGTCACACAAAGAATGTCTTATTCAGGGTATTTTGCTCTTAGCTATTTACTGGACAGTGCTTGTTTAAACCTATCGTAGATGAAAGGTGTTAGAGGTAATAATGAAATATGCAACAGCCTAGAACATCACAACTTCTTAAACGTGGGTTGCTCTAATAGGTTGCAAAAAAAAAGTCAGCACTCTTCTCTAAATCACTTTTCCTGAAACAGTAGGGTAAGCCTGTATTTATTGCTAAAATTGTGTTTATTGCTATTTGTGTCTCTGAAATCAGTCACAGATGTAGAGGCTTTTTAAAGACGGATCTGTTCAAGGTACGGTTAACTATTGAAAATCTGACATGGTGATGATTGGACATTGCCCAAAGAATCTCTTGATGGGGAAGCAGTAGTGTTGTCATGGTTACACAGAGCGCAAGTGAGTTGCTATGGCAATGTTATAGATTTCTTTTTTGTGTGGTGACCCTTGTTGTTAGACCTCAGCTGGATATTGCCTCCTTGGTTCTGTACCGCTTCAACTTGATGAAATAAAAGATGATGATAACAAACAGCTAGGCATATATCAATCATGCCAAGCTTACAAATAAATGCTAGCAGATTTTTATCACTGATACCAGTTCAGGCAGATATTATGATCTGCAGTGCTGGGAATGGTTGCGTGCCACAGAGCAATGCAACTTGAAGAAATACAGGCTGCAAGGAAAGTTTAATGTGGTAGCTTGACACTGCACCTTAGTAGTGAGTGATATAACTTTAAGCTGAGCAGAGACAGTAATTTTGTGATTGACATTAAAATAGTGGATACCAGTATTGTATTGTAACCACACAGCACTTGGAAAAATTAAGCTTTTAAACTTGTGAAGGTGTAACTGCAAAGTCCGAACGGGCTGGTCTCTGGCATTCAGTCTGTTCAGAGGTCTCTTGGGAGGAGGACAGGGACTCCACCAGGTGTAACAGCTTGGATGAGGTGTGGAAGTCACAGGATGAAAAAGCAGCACAAAATGAAGGCTCCTTGCTTGTTGCCTACTCTTTCAGTTGTTTTCGAAAACTGTTAGCACTTGTAAACTTCCACAAAAAAAGCTCAATAGTTGAATGTAAATGTACTTTTATTTCTCATGTTGCTCCAACTCTGGCCTGTTTTCCTGAATGAAACTTAATTTTTTGTTATAGAAAACTGTGCCTGAGCAGCACATACTTATCAGTCTGGATTTTTTGGAAGATCTTTCTAATACAGTTAAATTAGGTTTGAGCTGCTGGACCATGATGTGGGTCCAGCTGCCTCCCGCATGTGCAAGATGTGGCAGAAACCCTGGCTGCTGCCTCCCGCTCCGAGGCAGCTGCGAGCTTTCCCTGCCTACCCTGGGGGTTCCTCGCAGGTCTGATTTGACTGGCATCCAGTATCTCTGTGCTGGAAGGTCTGGCCTGTGGTACTCGTTCGATACGTCGCCTGAGAAATTAGTTTCTCTGTTTTGGTGCCAGCCTCGGAGAGGGAGATGCAGACACAGCTGGAAATGACCGGTGCATGTGGAAGAAGGGAAGTGGCATCTATGTGTCCTGTGCTCCCTTCTTCCTCGGAGTGTGGCACCGTGCAGTCAGCGTGGGCAAGGTGGGAGCATGGAAGTTCTGCTTTCTGCTCTTCTGTATGCAGTTGCTCAAAGGAAATAAGAGCAAACCAGTGGTGTGTAAGTCAGCTATTATTAGCTGCACATAATGTTACATCTCCTTTCATACTTACATGTACTTTGTGTGAGCGCTGATGAAATGTGGAAAGGGGAGGTGGAGAGTGGTGTGTTGTGGAGAGCTTGTGCACAGGTAATTTCAGTTTAATTGGAGCTGGAGATAGTGTCCTTTGTGAATCCTGCAGCACCTTACAAGGGAGAATGTCTCAAGTCTTGTTTGCATGGTGTGCAGACCTTTTTGTTTCTTCTTTCTAGGAGAAAAGTTCCATTTGAGGGTGGTAATTTGCTTGCCTAGCAATGCTCCGTAAGCTTCCATTCCTTGATTCAGGATGGAGTTAGTGTCAAGAGGTCTTTGGACAGGTCCTGATGTTGAGGAGAAAAATATGCATCAGTGTGTGTAATTATGGTGCTACTTGAGCATCTGTACAAGACTTTGAATGAAACATTGCATATTAGAAAGACATTTTTAGTATCTTATTATTGGCAGAGGTTTCTGTGGAAGAGACAGGAAAGAAAAGCACTTCTCCTGATTCCTAGTTTTCTACCTTGCTTTCTGCCTTTGTGTGTCTGCTGCTTGTTGGAGTGACGTAAAAGTGAGACCACACTGGTCTCAATGGAGAATATCGAGCCATAAAAGATGGGAGATAAAGTGCCAGCAGGTAGTGAGATACATTCTTGCTAGAAAGTTTAATTTTTATTTTTTAAGTCTGAAGGACGTATCTGATGTGATGTTTCAAGTGGAGATGATCAACTACTTGTCATATGTGAACCAGCCTGTGTTAGTTTCTTTTTCAATTCCATTAAAAGGTTTGAAACAAGTGTAAGCTGAAGCCAAAAATGGAGTTTTCTGGGTAACATGAAGAGAACTGGAGCAATGAGTTAAAGTCACTTTGCTCTTTGAGCTTCTCCATGCAAATGCAATTCAAGTAACTAACATTTTTCAAGACAGTGGGACAAGTTTGCAGACTCATTCAGAATTGAGTGATTATGCAAGGAATAGTCCTGAGGTGTCTTCAGCCATGGCCTTTTAAAAATAAATTGCTTTCCTAGAGTCACAGGTGAAGTGAAGCAGAACATGACGAACACAGTGGTGTGCAGAGTGCAGGGGGAGTGGAACAGTGTGCTTGAGTTCACCTACAGCAACGGGGAGACAAAATATGTGGACTTGACAAAGCTGTCTGTGACAAGAAAACGAGTCCGGCCCCTTGAGAAACAAGGACCATTTGAATCTAGGTAGAGTATGTGTTTACTATTGTCTGACCCTTTTTGTCCGAAGCAGTTTGGTGAATGCCTTAGGAAAACCTGCAAATGTAGATATTATTTGTGGATAGTGCTTAGCGGCAGTGATCTAAGTTTTTTATTTTTTTAAAAACAAAAAACAAGTGCGTAATAAAAAGTGCAAAAAACAAGTGCAGGCCCATGGTTGTTTATCTTGTCTCTCTTATTCATCACAGAGTTGTCTTACGAGTTCATAAAGTTCCTGCTAGAACAGAGCCTTCTTAGTTGTTTTGTTTTTAACCATCAGCTACATAGTGGGGCCGCTCCTGACAAGGGAGGTCCTCACAAGAAACTGCTTGTTGAATAACACTTCCACAAACAGACGCCTGGCACAGCCAAAACTTTGGAGCCATTCCTATATGCACCTCGTTGCTAGCATAGCTGCAAGACTCTGCCCCGAGCCCTTCCACCTACGCTGCACCGTGGTGCTCTGACCTGGGCTGGTTTGTCATGTATAAGTGGAGGGAATGCTCTGGTTCTGAAGAACTGCGTATGGTGATTCAGTAGTTCGAGGTGGCAGGCTGAGAAAACTTTTGAGAAGTAAAGTTAACAATTTGTTTTGTAGGAGGCTGTGGCAGCATGTAACAGAGTCTCTGCGGGATGGAGACATCGATAAGGCTACAGAGCACAAACGAGCCCTTGAAGAAAGACAGAGGAATGAAGAGAGGATTCGTGCTGAAACAGAAGCACCTTGGTGTACTAAATACTTCCTTAAAGAAGTAAGTTCCCAAGCAGTTAGCTGTTGATGAAGGCAGAGGCAGAGCTACAAGGAAAACGGGTGTACATATGGGTCCGTGTCCTGTCAGAATATTTGGCCTTAGATCCTACAGTTTAGCTCCATGGGATCCATAGGAGTAAGGTGACATAAGCACTCCCAAACATGTAAAGGTGTGTCTTTACCTTTCGTTTCCCAAACACTTTGATTTTGTGATTTCCTTGCAACAAAATGCCTGCTTTGTGTTCCGGTTTCTTTCACTAAGCGCTTCCTCATGGCACATGGAAAACAGCTTTACATGTACACATGCAAGTAGGCTGTAACAGTAAATACCCAAAGAAAATAATGAGTAGTACTAATTTTGTTTGTTGCGTGCATATGGACCCAAGATATTGCTGTTAACAAGAAGGAATGCGAGTTCATGCTCAACTTGTAACATACAAGAACAAAAAGAGTTCTATTTTGGATGGAACTTATTTGTTCAATGGCTTAACCTGTATTTCAAGAACAGTATTAATAATAATATAGTAAGACTTAAAGTGAACTGTAGCCTGCCCGGGAAGACTGGGCATTGTCAGTATGATAATGTTGAAATAGGCTTTCCTTGTGATCTAGATAATGAGACCCTGCTTGTGTAGAGAGTTGCTTTGAGCCCCTTCCAAGATGAGAAGACTCAACTAAAATTTATGCTGTAGTAGTTTATTAGTTTAGTAGGTTTAGGCTAAAAAGCGTTTTTTTCCTTGGGTTTCTTCCACTTTTGTTTTTTAGAGTTCAGGACTGTCAGTTAGCTGCGATAAAGTTTTTTTGTTCTCTAAAACTGTGTTAGTATGACTAGCTCAGATTTAGATATTTGTATTGTTAGTATCTAGATTTAGAAGAGGTGAAATTCTGTTGCTAATCTGAGATACAGATCTAGTCAGAAAATGTTTAAACGTAATCCTGAGCTACTTCATTTCCGGGTAAGCAGTTGGGCTGTGTTAGAGCTGATAATCCTGGATAACTGCATCTCTGCTGGCTTCTTGTTTGGCTCTTTAAAGTAATCTGGATCGTGGAGTTGGGAAGAGTGGCTTTCCATCCGGGTTAATTACAAGTGCAGTCGATTCCCAGCGAGAGCTGTGGCTCGGCAAGAGTCCGTACATGTTCTGAAGTAGTCTCGGAAGCCTGCAGCATTGATCTCTGTGTCTTAATCTGTGGGCGTTAAAGGCATAAGCTATGTCCCTCTGGTTTTCACAGCCATCAGTCTATTAGCTGTGTGAAAGACACTGGGGCAGTGTCTTTATTATAACTGTATCTTCTCTTTAAATTACAGGGAGAGGGCTGGGTTTATCATAAACCCCTCTGGAAAACAGTCTCTGCTGCACAAACTCAGCAAATGGACACTAACTAGAAAAGCTGCTTTAAGATGAGTTTTCTGATTTTCCTCTCCTTCCCCTCTGTCTCTCAAAACACAGTAATCACAGTGTCCCCTTTTTATGTAATTGTTTAAATGAGCATAAGGAAATAAATATACTAGGGCACTTTAAAGCTATTAAAAAAAAAAAATCAAAGTTGTAGAGACAAACTTGCCAGGTACAGTCAACCAACTTGTTTTTTGTATGATCCAAGAGATTTTATCTGAATTGTGTAAGATTCTTCTAAGTAGATCTGATTGCAAAAGCTGCCTAAGAGAAGAAGGAACTGTTGGGTTTTGGAGTGACATGGGAACTTTTTTTCCGAATCTGCACCACACTCTTTAATAACTGAAACCTGCTCAGTACCCATGTAGACAACAGCAACAAAAGATTGCTGCTTTTATGCCCAGTGATTAACCTTTTTGGCAAAAAACTGGAGGGTTGTTTGGAAGATATGCCTGAAATCAGTGTTAAGAAACAACTGGATCGTGACGACTTTTTTCTTCAGAGAAAATGCATGCATGCATCGGAGGAATATGGGATATATGTAGAGACTACCTTTCTTTTTTATGGATTTATAAAAGCAATTAGAATTGTAACCATGGAGAAATTTTTCCTCTGAAACATTTTAATATACTTGAAATAATTGACTTGAATTGGAAAAGTAATTTGAACACTTTTCAACTCCTAATTTTATTAAATCTCTTTGAGTGACTTTGATTTTTCTCATGTTATAATGTAATGAGGTTTGGCCTTTTTTTTCCTCCTCTTCCCTTCCCGAGGACTAAGGCTTTCAAATTGAACAGAAAGTGTACAATTTTGTATTTAAATTTCTCTGCCCATCTAATCATCTCAGAGGTGAAGTATCAGTGTTACAAGCTGTCCTTTGGACTGTTTTGGTTTTTGTCTTGTGGTGTTATTCAGAACAAAGCAGTGAAATGTGACCTGTGAATACATGAACTTTAGGTCCTGGTTTTTCATCTTACCGTAAAAAAAAAAAAGCTGATTATGCTGAGGACTGGGTATTGATTTGAAACACAATCAGATATCAGGAAACTGTATTCAGGTACAAACATTTTTTTTAATAACTATTTTATTGAAGTCTAAGAATTGCTGGCAATTAAGAATAGTACTTATTATGGCTTTCATTATTGTTGTAACTAAAAGCTACCTTAATTTTTCCAACAATGGTGCCTTAATCTGTTTTTTCTTCTGATGTAGTCTTCCAGTCAGTGTATTATAACATTATCTGCCACTTCCCAGCCATGGCAATGGCTGCACCTGATCCAGCATCATGAGAACTCACAACTGTGTGATCTGGTAAGATGTTTTCCATGGAGAAGATACAAGTGTAAGAATGCATCAGAAGGTTTAAATAACCATGTTAACTTTCAATACAAACTGTAAATTGTGCGGAAAAAGAGTGGAGTTTATGCACAACTATTTTGATCCTCTTGTACATGATTTTTTTTTTTCTGTGAAATGCACTGAGATCTCAATGCGAGTCATAGTCCGTTTGTGAGAAGTGGGGGTGGGGGTAATAAAACTACAAAATGATTCATTTGTTCTGTCTGCTTTCCTAGAGATCAGGTGACCAGGTTCTTGTTATCTGGAGATCTGCCTGGGCTTTCCTTGGCCCTTAAGGTGGGATATCTTGGCACTATGCACTTGAGTAGTAACTATATTCTCCAGCAGAAGAATGTTTTAGGCCCTGCTGTCTTGTTTGTGATATTCTATACAACCATCCTGTTGTGTTAGTTTTGAATATCCATTGGGCATTTTCATGTTTAACCAGGAATAAAAATAAAAATGTAAACAGTGGGATTAGTTCCTCCTTGTTTTTGGGTCTGTGGCACATTTGGGGAGTGCTCCTTGGCCAATTTCAGGATTTGGGGTAGGAATCATGGTGGCCACACGTGAACTTCCCTGGTTCATTTGTACCTGCGCTAAACTGGGGGTGAGAGGGGGACAGAAAAATTGACAACATTGTATATGCTTCATAGTTGTTTTATCTGTGTCACATAGCAGATTTGCTTTAAACAGCTAGGGCTGTGGTGCAAGGTCCGCTCTTAATATTGCGATGATCAGAGCAGAAAACAAACCTTTATCAGCTGAGCATACTCCAGGGATCAAACTTGTACTTATTAAAATATCGACTTATGACTTAATCACTGAGCTCTGCTTAAAATTTTGATTTGGGAATTTATCAAGGTGATGGCTGTAAAACAGACTGAAGAGCTTCCATGTTGACCATAAACCCATTTTGTGTTCCTTATATAATATTATTAGTCAAGTTATTTCTTTTCCACCCTTGTCTGGTATGCCTGTGGTTTCACACTGAGAAAGCTGTTACTAATTTTGTTGTGTTAGAAATAGACCCAATGCTGAAGAAATAGTCTTTTAAAATACATGAAATGCTTTCTTTTAACATGGGAGTGCTCCGGGGGGGGGGGGGG